ATGGCTCCCTGTTGAATTCAGCCTTCTTCAAGTACACATCACCAATGGATCTTGAAATCTGTAAGACAAAATATCAGATTACTACAAACATAAATCACACTTAAGATGTATCATACCTCACATGATGAAATCACACAAAACATTTTCCATAAATGAAGTTATCAAGTACATAAAGTTTGTTTGGAAAAAAAATCTCCTTTTTTCATTTTCTTTGAGGTAGAGATTAGGGGAGAGAGAGGGCTAAAGAAAGCTTATAGCTTATAATCTGAACTTCAAAGTCTTCCGAGCAAGGACCACCCACGAGAAGATAAAAACTCTCTCTCTTTTACATTTAAGTGAACATCTTACATTAACTCATCTAACAAATTCAACGTGACTAATTTTTTTATTCCAAGAGTATTTTTGACCGAAGTAGGATTTTTTAGCGCAACTAAGAAACACAGGTAGAAAGCAAAAATCTAAAGTATCGTGGTTTCAATCCAATCAAGCTTATAAATCAACCGTTGCACCACACTGGCATAGTATTAGTCTTTCTGTGAATAGCAAAGAACAATATCAAAATGGTACTGTAATAAATGTAGGAACTAACCTGTATTAGGCCCTTAACACGCCACACATTATGCTTGAGTACTACAATTTGAGAGTCATCAGGGTGCAGTGAATGCAGCTCCTGTCTCACAGACTCAATACTTGCATTGTGCTCGGCCGAGAGCCGAATGGACACTACTTCCTCGGTTGACTTGACTAGTCTTCCCAAAACAGCACGAGAATCACCAAGGTTGGCAATATATAGAGTTCCGCCACAAATGACTCCAACAAGGCAGCACGAACCAACTGCTGCTATCTGTGGTTTCGTGGACCATTGTCTGCTGACAAGTGAGAAAAAACCATCTTCCGTTGCTTGAAATGCCTTCCGTATCACCTCCACTGACATAGATTGATGCTCTGAAGTGAAACCTGCACAATCAAAAAATTAGCAGTTGAACACAAGACCATGTAGTTATAGGAAATTAATCTACAGTACAAATTTAACTAGAACAGTAACCTATCACCTTTACTGCTGGTATTGAGCCTTCATAATTTGAAATATACAAATCAAAGAACGTTAGAAGACTAAAAACTTGTTTCTATCATACTTTGTACTTCAGAATTGTAAACCATCTTAGGAATCATCTAAAACTGCCATAATTATAGTTTCCATAACAATGGAATTTGATAGAACTTACTCTTGAGATGTCGAAAGAGGTGCTCGTTGATGAACCGAGAAGTCTCGGGACCGCCGTGTCCATCGTAAATCCCCACAAAAGTACCATATGGCCCAGAATCATGAGAGCTCAAACAACCAGATTCAAGTTGGCTCTGATCCTCAAGTAAATTATTAGCTTGAACTACAGCCATTGAATACTCTCCATTAGAATGGTGCCCTGTGTCCTTATACCAAAGAAGCCCATCTTGACGGCCACTGGCGTCTGAACCCTTGTGAACATATCGATCTGCCTTTGGCCGAAAACAGGCCCTCAAAAGGTTCATTAACCCAGATAACATACCTCATCTCATCCAAACCACCTTCCAAATTATCCACATCTAGCGAGGACTCGAGATAACTCTGGCCCGAATAAACTTTAATTGATATTTTTACAAATATCTCCTCCAAAAACAGTAACCGTTTGCACTATGCACTCAAAGTCTAGAATAACGTCAAGAATAAACGTAAAAGCAACAAAAATTAGAACTTGTATGACAGAAACCCAACAAATTAATTGCAATAATAACTTTGATTTCAGCTAAGAATTCTATATAAATAGAGACAGATCTTATGTTTCTTATGGGAACAGAACACCCATGACACCAACCCGCCGCAAAAAAATAAAAAAATAAATAAAATGAGAAATTCAGCAAGAGGAAAAGGGGAGGAGGGGCTTTGAAAACAAAACTGGTCAAAATTCACTTTTTTCTTCAGGCGCAGCCAGTTCAAACTCCAGAAAGTCCAACTCTCAGAAAAGGGATGAAAATGAATAATAAATAAAACAAAAGAAAAATCAAAATTCCTGAAATAGTGATATCCCAAAAAAGTCTAGTCACAGTAATTTAGCATTATACGAATATCTTCAAACTTTTACCTTAAGGGCTGAGAGAACGATCTGAAATCGAAACGGGGTTTAGATCTGTGGATCCATCAAATTGAACATAAAATCAAACTGGGAATTAATTTATTCCTTTCCCTATTCACTTTGAACAGTCTTCAGATGATGTAGATGATGAAATAACAGAAGAAGAAAAAAATAACACACCCAGAGAAGTGGAAAAGAATTATAGAGAGAGAGAGAGAGAGTGGTATGGTGTATTTGATTGGGCAACTGAAATTGGTCTCTCTCAGCAGACAAACCCCATTAAAAACTAACAATGGAGAGCTTGAATCCAGCAAAGCAGAGGACCAGTTTGGGCTCCACACATTTCAGATAGAGAAAAATCTACAGAGAAGGAATTCAGATAGAAAGAGAAACTAATAAAAACTGTAATAAGGAGTGACAAAAGGAGAAAAAAACTAAAAAATCCCAAATGGGGAGTCAATGAAGTGGGATAAAGATAGAGTGAAACGCGCTATATGGTTTTTCTGTGTAAGTGGACCAACGTGGAGTTCAAATGTATAATTATCTTTTCTTTTATTATTTTAAATAATTACCAATACTCTGAAAATAAATTAACTTGACTATTTGAAAAAAGAGTACCAAAATGTTATTCTAAATCATTACATGAGTATGTAAATAATGATATACAAATTCTAATTAAATTTCAGATGTCAAAAATAAGTTTTTATTCCAGTATTGTTCATTTCTATAAATTGGAGATATTCAAACAAAGATGGAAGGAAAGAGGAAATTTAGGATCTAATTCGATTAATCCAAACATTAATTATAACGTTGTTTAATCTTTTGTCTAGAAATAAGGAAAATGCTATATGTACACCTCATAGTGTACACAATGCATTACACCCTTCTCACATGGAGAGGGGTCCACAAATATTTTATTCTTTGTGGACCCCCCTCGATGTGAGAGGAGTGTAATGCATTATGTAGTACATTATGTACACATAGCATTTCCCTAGAAATAATATATTATTTTTACTCATTAGCACATGGCAACATAGCATGTCAATTCTACAGAAACTAGACAGGAAAAGTAACAATACGATGTAATGGAAATAATTGTCGAACATATTAAGCTTCGGTTTGGAGTAGTTGAAAATCAAAATTTTTAATAAAAGTTGATGAAAAGTGTCTTTAAAAAAAATTTGTAGATCTCATCAAATATGTGACTAAAATTAATTGTTAACTTTGATATAAATTAAAATTAAAATTTAAGTTAATAATTAATTTTAACCATATATTTTATAGAACTTATAACTTTTCAATCAAAATATTTAATTATTTTTATCTAAAAATATGATTTTAATCCCAACATAAAGGGGCTAACGATGATTTTGTAGAAAAAGAAAAGGCCAAAAAAGGGGGTGGAGGAGGGGGGGTACAATAAAATGTTTGAATTTTAAAATCAACGGTCCGCGCTCCAGCTCATCTTTATTTTTTTTTTTTCCCTGTGTATCTTTGGACCCGCGCCGCCTGCCGACTTTTTAATAACCTTTCGACATTTTCAATTTCAGTTAATGCATTAAGATTCTGCTCATACCATTTTGCAATTATGTATAGCTAATTGAGGGAATGTTAGAGGTAGATTTTTTTTTTTTTTTTTATAATAAATTTTGTGAAAAATAAAAATGTGTGATTAAAAAGTAAAAAAATATTATTGGTCCACGTGTGAAATTATTTTATTGGATGAAATATATAATTTAAAATATTTTTTTAAAAAAAAGTTTAAAAAATATGTACTAAACAATGGCTTAATAAGAATCAAATCGAATGGGACACATGTTTTGGTTTGATCCAATATTGATTCTTTCGACGGTTTATAAAGAAAATGTCAAGCTAAATTGCTATCTAACTTTCATGATCTCCTTTTCGTTTTGTTTATTCATGCAATGAAAAATATTAATCAAGAAAAATTATAAAAATACATCCAGCATTTAAAGTGTATTCACATTTTGTAAAATAATTTTCTGTTAATTTTGGTATTTTTCAACATTAACTTGACATTTTATAATTTCATTTATCACACAGAATTATATATTTTTATCAATAATGTTTATTTTACTTTCGATTCTTCAAATTTTTTGTAAAAAAATTAATAGTATGAAATGTGTGATTGATAAAAATTTTATCATATACTTTGTGTCACTATCCAAAGAGTGGATACTAGCTAGCCCATGTGGAGATACCTCTTCTACAAAGTCCAAAAGTAATTGCGCAAAGTACAAAACCTCACTGCTATATTGTCATAGATATACACCTTGGTGACCACATTTTTCTATCCAAAAATTACCCTAAATTTATTTCAATTGATGGATATTGTAAACATTTCTTTCATTTTCAAAAGCAACCCATGCTAGACTCGTGTGTAATGTACAAGAGATTGCGACTTGTTGAAAACGTAACTATATAGAAATTAATTTATTTGCTCTTTGCAACTTTAATTCTTAGATAAAACGGTTCAATATGTTATCAGAGTAAATAGGCAATCTTATGAATTCAAGTATTCAACAATCGTCCATCATCTATCAATAATTGAAACTTTTCGGGATCCACTTTGGAGCAATTGGAACCCGATTCAAATATTTTTGGTATTAAGAACCTTTACTTTCATTTTAGTTCAAGTAGGCCCTTAGTAGATACATAACCGTCAAAAATTCTGTTAAAAATCGTCACATGCTCTACACGTAAAACCTTTGAGAGTTTCGTCAACCCATTTAATTCTTAAAAAAGAGGGACAATTTAACTATAAATTTTGACAGTATCGGAACTGTCCTGGTGAGATTAGAAATGAAATAAAGCTTCATCCAACGACTTCTCAAAATTGTATAAAAAAGGGCTTCAAATATTATTATTAATTAATTAATTAATTTATTATTATTATTATTATTATTATTATTATTATTATTATTATTATTATTATTATTGAAGAAAATGATTAATTAGAAGATAANTATTATGTGTGTGTATAGGCGTGGGACAGGGTAGATATATAAAGGTCGATAAAAGCAAGGAAGATATGTACCCTTACCTAACAAATACAAGTATTTTGAGTGAATCGAAAAAGGACAGTCCCCATCTTCTGATTGGGTTGATTCCCGTTTTGTTCATACTCATTTATTAGCCTTAGGCCCTCCAGTTTTGAAAGTAGACAATTGAAAAGGAAATTTGTGGGTATACTACACTCTCATCTTGTAGGAGTAGGGCTCTCTACCCTAATTTCACCCCTCAATAATTGAGGAGATTCGTTC